GTCATAAATAAATAATATATGACAAGTTCTCAATGATATAATCATCGAAAGAGTATTTAAACAACAACATAAGTATTAATAAAATAATTATTCATATACCATTTAATAATAAAACTATATTGCATAACATTATTATTCAATAGTTATAATGGTATTAAAAACAAAATAATATACCTTATCATTAATAAACATATGTAACAATATTCACACATATAAACCGAAGATAAGTAACACTAAAAATACAAGATATATTCAAACATTTAACCTATATTTTTTTATGAAAAAAATGTATCAACATTATTTTAATAACTCATAAAAATATAAAAGTAAAAAGAATAAATCATTTCAGCTACGTTTACTTTTAATCTTCTTCCTCTGATCTTTCTTCTTCTTCTTCTGATCTTTCTTCTTCTTCTTCTGAAGTATCTTCTTTCTCATCAGTAGGGTCGTGATAGTCATATACCTGTTTTAATTCATTTCTAGATAATGCATATGAAATAGTTCCAATTAATAATGCTGGGACAAGATATAATAATGCTGGTTGTCCAAATGCAAATGTGTGCATAACGATGAATGTAATTAATAACCCAATGAAATATGAAATCATAGAAACCATGAAATATTGACTCTTATTGTTAAAAGAAGTATCTACTCTTTTCATTAATGCAATAAAAATACCTGGAATTGCAATATCACCAAGTCCAAGAAGTGAAACTTGTTGTGTGAAGATGAAATTCCCGTCTTTAGGGAAGATAAATTTGATTGGTCCGTCAACATGAGTTGCTACTGTCAACATAACTTCACTTCCAAACACCCAAAAGATATCATAGCAAAAGAGTGCAATTAACATGATTGCTGCGATTTTAAATGATGGGGCTGTAAGTTCTCCAATTGCAACAACTGTTAAACAAAATGCAAGTAAGTTATTCAAGATCCAATGGCGAGTAATAACCCATAATAATGAAAATATAAATCCGACTCCTGTCCCAAGAATTTCTGATTTAGATGTTTCAATTTTACTATTAATAAATGGGATTGTGATAAAAAACTTCTCTGGAGATGCGTATTTCTCAAATATAAATGAAAAAAATTCATTTATTCCAACTGCACCAATAAACATGAAATAAAGTGTTAATAAATATTGTAGATAATCTGCTGAAATGAATTTAATAACAACGTACAATCCAAATAATACAATACTTCCTATTACTGGCATTGACATTGCGTTCTTTAAATCCATAGACTCTGTTAATTTCTCTCTAACTGCTTTTTCAGCTCTTTGTGCACCAAGGACTAAAGGTAAAATTGGAGTAACAAATAATCCAACACTAGAAACGAGTTGATAAAATGATGGCATTAATCTAACAATTTACTTTGATCTTTTTTTCTTTTTTTTACTTTTTTGTTTATTTATTATAATAAAATAAATTACATTTTATTATATTTTATATTTCTTTTGTCAATTATAAAAACAATGTTATTAAAAACAAAAAAAAAGATAGAAAAAAGAAGTGAATTTAAATGAAATATTCTGGTAAATTTCTTTTACTAACAAAACCTTTTGGATCTTGTGGTGCTGCTTCAAATACTTTGAAACTATAACTCGTAGGAGTATCAATTTCCATAATTGAAGCAACATTATCCATACGATAATAATATTTTGGAGCAGACCATACAGTAACTAAAGTATTATTAAAGAACCATTGAAAACCGTCTTGGGCTAATTGATGTGCACGACAAATTAATTTAGTGTTATTGACTTGATTAAATTCTTGGACAGCTAATGCGTTAAACATACAACCCGCTCCACGACTTGATTTATGGAATTTTTCTAACTGATTTTCATCAGGATCAGACCACAACAATTCACAGTATGCTCCAGTTGGTGGAATTTGTTTACAACGTTCTAATTTTTTAATATCATCTAATGCAGTTGCTGTTTGAGAAAGACCACCATGAACACAAAATATTTCGTTATCTAAAGTAGCTGCAGTTGCCATAAACTCAAACAAAGCAACACAATGTTTCCAAACATTAACATTTCCATATTTTTTCATACATTCATCGTAAAAACCATAGTCTCTTGTTTGAAGTGAGCATTCATGATTTCCTCTCAACAAAGAAATACGTTGAGGAAAACGTAATTTTAATGCAACTAATAAAAGAAGGCATTCTAAACCATAATGTCCTCTATCAACATAATCTCCTAAAAATATATAATGTGTTTGTGGCGGAGTTCCTCCAATAGAAAATAATTCTTTTAAATCGTGAAATTGTCCATGAATATCACCACAGACAGTACATGGTAATGAAAGAGTTAAAACAGTAGGTTCCTGAGACATAACTTCAATAGCTTTATTTGTTAATTGACAGATAATATATTCTTCAAGCATCTCATAGTTCCATAATCTGTTGATGATTTCATCCAGATTTAAATCTCCAGACATCTGTGATTATTTTTTATCTTTTCCAGTTTTTTTTGGAAAAAATACATTCAAAAACGTTAATCTTAAAAATTAAAATTTTTAATAGTTTTTTTAATATTTTTTATTTTTACTATAGTAAAAATAAGTACAAAAGAAATAAAATAAAAAGAATGATTTAATTTAATAAA